TAAATCCAGCTGCTTTTCCCCCTACTGTGTGACCTTGGGTAAGTTACTTTATATCTGGAGACTTCAAATACCTCATCTGTAAACAAGTGAATTTAGAGTTTTCCATTTCAGAGATCTTCTGAGACGGTATTCCACAATGAGGAAATAAACCCAACATTTGTGACTAGTTTTTATATCCACTGACAGCATGCCGTGCCCTCTGCTGTGCCAGGCTGCAGGACCAAGAGAAGACCGCCACCGAGAGATCCAACAACACAGGCAGGCACATTCTCCAGACAGAGCAGCTAACGCTGTTGTTGTGAGCGACATCAAGTCAGTTCTGACTCACAGCGACCTCACGCACAACACTGCCCAGTCCTGCACCTCCTCACAGTTGTTCTTATGCTTGAGCCCACTGTTGCAGGCACGATGTCAGTCCATCTCATTGAGGACCTTCCTCTTTGTTGCTGCTCCTCTAGTTTACCAAGCAGGATGTCCTTCTCCAGGGACTGGTCTCTCCTGACAACATGGCCAAAGTAAGTAAGACAGTCTCATCATCCTTGCTCTAAGGAGCACTCTAGCCTTACTTCTTCCAAGGCGGATCTGTTTGTACTTTTAGCAGTCCATGGTACTTTCAATATTCTTCTCGAGCACCACAATTCAAATACATAGATGCTTCTTTGGTCTACCATATTCAATGTCTAACTTTCACATGCATAGAGGCCACTGAAATGACCGTGGCTTGGGGGAGGCACACCTTAGACCTCCAAGTAACACCCTTGCTTTTCAATACCCTAGAGAGGGCTCATGCAGCAGACTAACCAACGCAACTCTTTTGATCTGACTGCTGCTTCCACAAGCATTGATTGTGAACCCAAGCAAGGCGAAATCCTTGACCACTTCAACTTTTCCTCCGTTTAACTTGGTGTTTCCTACTGTCTGGTTGTAAGGATTTGGGTCTTCATTCCATTGAGCTGTAATCCAGCCTGAAGGCTGCTGTCTTTGATTGTCATCAGCAAGTGCTGTAGGTCAGCTTCACTTTCAGCAAGTGTTAAATCTGCATACTACAGGTGGTTAATAAACCTCCCTCCAATCCTGACGCCACATTCTTTTTCATATAAACCAGTT